ATCTAATTCGGACTTCATCTTTGTTTGGCACACCTCAAAAGGTCCAAAGCTTGAGATTTTGGGATAACTTCTAGGGTATTGAGCCGAAAAAAAATATGACAGGAGAGAATGAGTTACTTTTGGCATTGGTACTTCTAAGGGGTGAAAAGAATCTCAAGTCACGCCCACAAAACAGGATCTTGGTACCTCTTAGTGCTTTTCTAAATTTCCGACGAGATTCCCAGTTCTTTTAATATGGGAGCTCGCCCTCCGCTGCGGCGGATCCAGGAATTCCTGGAAGGGGGAATTTAATAAATTTAGACGCCATCGACGTGGATGGCCCCGTACATGTAAGGTTGAGTCACTGTTAGAATTAAGCTTGTGGAGAATTACCGTTTCTTCTGCTCTCATAATTCAAAATCCTATTAATTAACGATTTGTCTACTACAACTTCATTCAAGTAAATATATATACCGATTGTCTGTACTGAAAGGATAGCAAAAAGGTAATCAGATCAAAGATGAAATATATTCAAGGCGATACAACACTAACAAGGCTTTTATTCTCCCTTAATTAATACAGAAGGAGGACTTTCACACTAATTATGATGTAACGAAGCCTCAACTTTTGATAATTTTAAAAATACTAATCTCCAAGCTTACGCCTGTAAAAATACACTTAGCAACATCGCCTTATGACCACCCTGTTACTTACAAAAACTAGGTTAAGCAAAGCTCGACGACAAAGACACCGAGGTACGTCTTTTATACAAAGGTTTAATGCGCAGCACAATGGCTATGTACGTGCGTTGTAAATCTTGATACATTTCGTTGCCGTTCTCTGCAAACAGCAACGTGAAATCGAATGGCCACGTTCTGGGTATTTTGGAAAACGTGAGCCAAGACAGCTGGTTTTCGAATTTTCTTTTCTGTTATAATAAACAGATCTAAATGAATGAAGAAACAAAACACAAACCGCGGTGATAAAAACCGCGGTGATAAAAACCGCGGTGATAGCGGTGTGACCGCTAAAAAGCGGTCACACCTCAGCCATTGCGGATCACGTTACTTCCACGGGTCATAATATTAAATGGGATAATTTTGATATCTTAGCGACTGGTAGGTCAGATATACATTGTAAAATTAAGGAAACATTGTTAATTCGTG